ATATGGAGAAACAAGAACGATAGATATTTCCTTAATTCAATATGTATTAAAATCTTCTCAGATAGTGAAGTCGATTATTTCTGTTGATTAAATATCTATTATTTTTTTTCTACATATTCATTTGTTTTTATTGAGACACTGACAGATATTACTAATTGATGTTTCAGAAAGAATGGAACTTTCTATATTTTAATAATAACTCTAATAATATTCCTTGGTTCAAACTTTGTTTTGTTTATCAAAAAAAAACAAACATCATTTAGTAATTTTCTATAAAATAGTATATACGTCTTGGTCGAAAGTGATCATCGATATTAGATTGGATGTTCCAGTAGGAACCGGAATGTTGCTTGCTAGGATATTTTCCTCTATCATCGACATATTTTACGTGAAATATCCATGATTATATTAATTTAAAATGAAGAAAACTATCACAGAAGATATTATTAATTAAAGAAAACAGCATTTTTCAAAAATATTTATCCTACTATCAATACTTTAAATAAGTGAAAATTCTTTTAATAATTTAGATAGTGTTTCATCTACATCAATAAGCACTACAACTCTTCCAATAGTTCCAAATTATCTTCGACATCCAGTATTTCCTTATGTTTCATCTCAACCAACAACAAATTTATCATCTATTAATACAGAAACAATAACACTTCTATGTCGTATAGCTGATGATCCATCTGAAACTGATTTTATTGAATTTGATTTTAATAAAATACCAAATACTGGTTCATTCGAACGACTTTTATCTAATATTTGTCATGAACTTAATATTGATCATATTGATAAATTACGTCGTTTACCTTGTATTCGTGTACGAAATGATTGTGATGTTGAACGTTTAAAAGATAATCATATGTTAGAAGTTATTTTAATAAAAAAATCATAAACAAAAAAAAAAAAAAAAAAACTTCATCATTGAAACACATAACAACATGTTTAACATTTATTTAGATTGACAATAGACATTTTGTCAATTGACTATCCCCAATTAGAAGCGATCGATTGATCAACATAAGTCTATGTTTGATTGTAAACATATCTCAAGTCAATCTTTCATAATATCTTAACGTACAATCATTAATTATAAGAATATTTTTATTCATTAAAATGAACAAAAAAAGAATTATCGAAGACATTGAATATAAGCACGTTTTCATTTTTTTTTAATTAACATAAGATCTTCTTTTTTTTTTTGTTTATTAATATAAAAAAATGTAAGAAAGTCATACTTTTCGATAAACACTAAAAATGCTTAAGAAAAAAAAAGCCGACGAATCGATGTTTATTTTGGGATTTATCGTGTTCGCTTCGAACGAAAATTTTTTTTCCGTTATCTAATGAGAACAACAGAAATGAATGAAGATCATATAGGCATATACTTACAATAACGATAGTTGATCGAGTCTGAACATTATGAATTTAACAAGTTAAAGTTGTTGTTGTTGTTTTCTTTTTGTTTTTGAATACTAAACATCATGTATAAAAAATTCTATTATATTGCTATTATACAATTATTTCTTTTACAAATATCAATATCTATTCATATTGGACATGAAGTTGGTGGTTCATCAATGGATTCTACACATTATGATCGTCGTATATTATATCAACAATGTCCATTAAATAGTGAAACAAAAGATCTATATCGAACGACTTCTTGGGCTGCGATTCGTTCATCATCATCATCATCATCATTAACAACAAATACTAGTAATCAAAGTAGTTTAATTCCATTTCGTAGACAATTAGTTATTAATAATGGAGAAGATCGACTTGTAACAAGAACTTCATCAAATACAACTAATATTAATACTACTACAATAACTCCATTGGGTATTGATCAAGCAGCTGTGGATATTATTGTTGATAATCAAGTAAGAATAGAATAATTCAATGAAAATTTTGAAAAAAAATGTACAAAAGAAAATCGATTGTAACCGATAATCGGAAAGTTTATAGACAAAGTGTTTGTTTACTTTTGACCCTCTGGAAAGTATTTCTACACATTAAAAGCTATCGGCTTGTGCTCTTTTTAAATATAGGCTTAGAAATTTTGTTTGACAGTATTGAGGAACTTTTTAACGAACATGAAAAATGAGTCATTTTGTACAGCGAACATTAATATTCAACTAAGCTGTAACTTTTATCACACCGTTTTTTAAAGAGCTTATTTTAATGTAAAACAGTTATTAATTTTTCAAAAATGAAAATTGAGATGCCTTGTCGAAAGATAAAAATCCTTATCGTATCAAATGAGAACCATATTTTGATGAATTTTTGGCTGTTGAAATCAAAGAAGATGTATCGATTGTCATGGTAATCAATTTAAACGTTCTTTAATCATATATATCGGGAGAATTGTTCCAATCGTTGTTTAAGTTCAGATTCCATGCATAAGAGAGATTCTAATGGAGTATGAAAAATTTCAAAAAAAGGATAAGTCTCTTAAGCTCTTTTCTTCAGAGTTTTGGCCATTGAACTGAATCTTTAGCTTATGACACGGTCTGTATCATCAAATCGAATGATAGCATTTCGACCCGAAATTTTTGTCCACAGATAAACTAATAGAATACTCTAAGCATTTCAGTTCAAAAGAATAGATTTGTTTTTTTTTTGTATAAAATATTAAATTTCCGAAGATAATTCATATTTAATGGATGATGTGAGAATCTTATGATTTTAGGAAATTCAATATTCCACGACAAAAAAAAAACATTCTTTTGAGTTGAAATTTTCAGAGTACTCATACAACTAGTAGGCAAAAAATCAGGTTGAAATACTATCATTCAAGTTGTTAGTACATATCATGCCATATGATCAAATTTCAGGGTTATGACTATAAGTTTCGAGAGAAGGACTACGGCGATTTATCTATATGAGATATTTCATACCTTATGAGCAGACCTCGAACTGAAAAATTACTAATCAGTTGAAATGATTCCTTCGTAAGACTAAACTAAATCTATTACTATTCTAAATGAATTTTTTGTAAAAAAAAACTTCTGCTGAATCAAGCCATAAAAAATACAAATAACAGATCTTTTTTTTTCTTTTCAATAAGCAGAACGATAAAAGATTATCGAAAAGTCATTCGACAAAATGTTCGTTCATTTTTCGACCTCTTAAAAGACACACCAGAAGTTTGAAAACATTGCGTTTGAATAAAAACTTTGTATTGCTTTCAAATATAGGTTCAACATTTCTGTCGATCTTTTGGCTTAGGAGTTATAAATCGACCTGCGGAAAAATTAAGTCTAGGTGGATAAAATTGACGTTTTTCTATGCAGCAATAGTCTCCTTTCCTGTATACGTTATATTACCGATTTTTTCGCATAGAATTAAAGACGAGATTGGTGTCTATAAAGTAATATGAGAATCAAGAGTGTCAGAACAATCATTCAGGAATGGCCAAGTTCATTTTGTAAGTATGTTTTTCGTAAATTTACGGACCTCAAAAAAGTCGGTTCATAACTCTTAAATCAGAAGTCATACAAAAAATAAAATTTTGAAATCATATTTAGAAAGAATATAAAATTCAGGTTCTCACTCGATGTTTTTAAATTGCTGCAGGTTCATTTAAAAGGAACGAACATTTTGTTAAATGAATTTTCGATGATCTGGCATATAAATGACTGATGATAAGAGGTGTGTGGAACAGACCTCAAAACGGACCACCTGGCCCGACGATTTTATCCTTTTTTGACATAACTTTTTCTGAGATTTGGCTCGCCTCTGAGGGGATAGGGGGAAGTTTCTTCACGTTACCCGTTTCTTTTGGTCTTCACTTTTTATGAAAGCCGAAAAATATGGAATAGCTGTCTATTAAGAAAAAAATCTGTGTAAACAAAGTTTATTTTGGGGTTCGAGTCGGGCTGAGCCAGGCGAGTCTAAACAATGTTCGGGCCATAAAAAAGTAGCCTGATTTCGAAACCTGATGCGGAACTAAGTTTTTGCGGTCACAGTCTAGAGAAAACTATTCCATAATTTATTCACATCACACCTAAAAAATTCTTCAAAACTCGTTATTTTGAATTTTTTTAGTAGATGACTAGCATTGTTTTGAGCCATCTTCTCTTGAAATATATTCTGATTGATGATTTATAAGATAATTCGTTTAAAATCATAGAATCTTTAGTTCTGATTGGAACAACTTTTTTCTTGTAGTTCGAGTCTTGCACATCTCTAGCTATTATGCTACCTAGTCTCTTTTATTCAAATATCTTTATTCTAACAATTGTCATAACTTTATATCGTACTCATTTGTAATAATAATCAGACTTAAAATTAGAAATCTATACAACTATTTAACTTGTCTATTGTGTTCAATA